CAGTACCCACTGCAGGCTGTGCCTGGCAATACCACAGACAAGACCAGGGCCCCGAGAAGGCAGGAAACGGACCAGTGGACAGACTGGCACCAGAGGCAGCAGCACAGGGCGTGAAGACAGGCTGGTAAGCCAGCCCAGAGGGCAATCAGGCACCCGGGCCCCGGGCCCCCAGGAGTGTGCCGGCAGCACAAGCACCTACTGTCCGCACCTGTTCCACCTTCACCAGCGGCAGTTCCAGGGGTCCGTCTCCCAGGGGCTGGGGACTGGACCCGGCAGGAGGGGCCGGCTCCAGGGCGCCCTCCTCCCCGATGACCCGCTCAAGGACGATGCCCGAGTCCTGCATGGCCTGGTGCAGCAGGTTCTCCTGGCTGCTGCCCTCGCCGCAGCAGGGGAGCTCATCAGGCCCCGGGGGCTGTAGGGGAGGCGGAGGGAGGGAAGGAGGCTGGCCAGGCAGCCCAGCATACACACCCACCCTCCCCTAGCCCACAGAGTGGCCTGTGCTGGGCCAGGGGTGCTGGGGCCTCTGTGCAAACCCACAGAGCCCTGTGTCGTGCTGCCACCTGCCCCTGCTCTCCTTGGGTGAAGCCACCCCTCACCTACACCCACCTCAGCCCCAGCCTACCACCCTCACCCTTCCCTGCCCTCTGGTACCCAGCCACAGACAAGCTCGCCCTGCCGCCTGCCTCCATGTCCCCTCCAGGAGTCTGGCCCAGGTCTGAGACTGTGCATGGCGTGGGCAGAGGACAGAGCAGCCCCCAAGCCTCGGCCTGCCCTCACCTCCGGGGCCAGGGCCTTCACGCCCAGGGGCAGCTCCTGCATCTGAACATGGACTTCGTGGATGACGGTGCCCTTGGCATCTGTCACCAAGTGGATCACAGGAGACGTCCCCACGGGCTCGCCTGGCACCGATGATGCCGTCGTCCCCACGGAGGAGGCGCTGGCCCCTTTGAGGCAGAGTTGAGTGAGTGCCCACATCACCCCACACACTGAGGAGCCAGCCAGCCATCAGGTTGGCCCCCAGGAGTCCCGGCTCCAGCGCTGACCTGCAGGCACGTCCTCTTTGCCGACGATCACGTCTTTGCTCATGCTGAAGCGGATTTTCTCCGTGCACGGGGTGAGAGACTTGAGGTGCCGAGTCAGCGCGCCCGACTCCCGGAAGCTCTTCCCGCACTTGGCGCACTTATACGGGCGCTCGTCTGCGGAGGGGACAGGTCAGCCCAGGGATGCTGGCCAGCAACACGGCCCGAGGTAGGACGCAGGGCAGGGTGCTGGGAGGCTCACCCACCCGTGTGCCGCCGGTGGTGCCGGATGAGCGAGCCCTTGGTCCGGAAGGAGGCTCCGCAGAGCTTGCACTCGTGGTCCTTGCGGCTGCTGTGGGTGACCATGTGGGCCTTGAGGATGCTGCCCTGTGGGGGATGGGCGGTGAGGCCGGGCACCCCGGGCAGGGGCAGAGGCAGGCACGGCAGGGCCGGCAGGGGCTCACCGTCTTGAAGGTCTTGTGGCACAGCGCGCACACATAGCGGCCGTCCTGGTTCACCAGCAGCTTGACCTGGGCCTGCGTGCCCTGGCGGCCAGGGCTACTGGGGGCCTCTGCCATCTCGCTGTCCCCAGGCTCTGCCTCAGCGGCCACAATGACCTCCTTGATGTGCCCACCACCTGAGGAGAGGTGGGTCAGGCTAAGCCTCGGGGCCAGCTTCGCAGGGCCGCTGAGGGCTGTGGAGCTGTCCAGAGCAGCCTGAACCTGCAAGGGTGGGGGCCCCAGGGCCCCCGGATCATGTCCCATGGGGAGACACGCCATGAGCCCGGATGCCCATCCCTGAAGCCAAGAGGACAGATGGGTCCCTAGCAACAGGAGGGCTGGGCATAGAGACCGCCAGTGAGCCAGCGTGAAGAGGCAGGTCTCAGGGTAGCCGCGGGTTGGGCTGCTGGCAGGCCGGGGCGCCTGGCCAGGGAGCATGAACGCTCTCTAGACACCTGGCAGCCGGGGCAGCAAGGCTGCGCTGTGGAGGAAAGTGGGGCTGCAAACGCGCCTCACGCTTTCTGCTCCCAAACTGCCAGGCCGCTTCCTGGGAGCCACGGCTTCTTGTTTTGACCAGCCATTCTCTCGAGACGGAATCAAAGCGCCATGACTCAGAGACAATTATGAGCTCCTCCAGCCTGAGGCCTGGCTGGTACTCAACAGCCCCGAAGTGATCTCCAGGACAGAGATCTCTGGTGGGGAGGTCTGCAGGACGTGAGTCCAGACAGGAAACACGTTTGTTTCCAACCTGGAGGGGGACCCAACAGCCCGCAGTCCCGGCCAGCACAGGCCTGTGCTCTTCGTCTACACTGCGGGCCTGCCCTCAGCCCACCGAGTCAGCTGACTGGCCCAGGGCAGGCTCAGGGCACCCAGGTGCCTGCAGAGGGGAACCCCCGAGGGTATGAGACGGGCAGGGATGCTGGGAGAGACACCCCCAGGCATGTGGAGAGCTGCCAGGCTGAGCCAAGGGCTTGAAGTTGCTACAGCTGGGGGAGGCTGCAGGTGCCAAGGCCCAGGAACTCGTTTCCCGAATGACCTCACCCGCCCCAGAAATCAAGCACCACGCCAGGCTCAGCGCCCAGCACCACCTCCCGCAGGGCGACATTCCTCCCGAGTGGCCCATGGTGAGTGCCTCTGCCACAGGAATGCAGGGAGGGGTGGCACGGAGCCGGGACTGCAGCCCGCTCAGAGGCTGGCCCTGCTGCAGCTCCTCCGCCCACTCGTCCTGCCCGGCTGCTCCCGGGGCTTCCCAGGGCCAGGTTCTGCCTGTTGTCCAGCTACCCACTCACCCACCAGCCTCGGCCCCTGCCCGACAGGTACCACAGGTAACAGCCATCCCCTCCCTGACTCCTCACTGTATCAGGCGCACCCCAGCTCCCTGGCATCTGCGCACCCAGCCACTCACTCCCACTCGGGAACAGGCCCCGGGCTGCCCTCTGACTGTCCCGACTAATGACGGCCTGACCCGATCCAGATCTCTCCACACCTGCGTGCGTCAGCCAGGCACTAGAACTTAAAAAGGGCCATCAAAGAGGCTTGGCTTTGTAAGCTCATAAAAGTCCATGAGAGTCGGGGCGGGGAGCACCGCACCCCACCACCAACAAAGCCGCACCCACGCCACAGCAAGCCCCCAGCACGCCAGCTCGGGAGGTGAAGGCCACCGCCGGGCAGGTCAAGCCCCAGCTGCAGGCAGGAGAGCCCCACCCATCCAGCACAGCCCCCAGAGCCAAATGCTGAGTGGGCAGGCCATGCAGTGGGCCCCAGAGGTGCTACCTGGGGGCCGGACAGCAGGGACCAAGTTGGTGGCAGGGGAGTGGGGAAGATTCCAGAAGGACCAGGGCAGAGGCCTGGGACAGCAGGCAGGAGAGCTGCCAGTTCGCAACCAGGTAAGAGACCCTTCGATACCTAGTACTCAGGGCTGTCCGGGCCACTGCGGGTGCCGTTCCCAGAGGGCCTGGAGCCCAACGCGCCCTCCTCCTGCAGGCCTTGCCCTCAGCAAGGCTCACGCGAGCCCCACCATGGCCAGGTCTCACTCTCAGGGGGAGGAAGGCGCAGGCGCAGAGGACCCCACCCGCACACACCGGCCACAAGGTCAGCAGCCAGGCTCGCCGGCTTACCAACAAGGTCAGGCGTGTGGCCCACGTCTGTGGCCAGGGAGGCGGCCTCCACCACAATGTGGGCCACGGTGAGGGGCTCTTCTGGGCCTGTCGCCGCCGGCACCACCTGCCAAGGGAGCATGGGAAAGGCATGAAGGGGATGCATCTACGGGCTCCAGAACACCCAGAGACCCTGTTCCCAGCGAAGCCAGGGAGGCGTGGGCCGAGGGAGTAGAGGCCTGGCCCTGCCAGCCATCTCTAGTCCCCCAGCCACCGCGGGCCAGCTCGGCACACTGAGCACCCTGGGAGGTGGCCAGCAGGCAGAGTGAAGGCGTTGCACCCCCCTCCCAAGCCCAGCACTCAGAGGAAAGGACATGCCCAGAAGCAAGCAAGTGGAGTCCAGGGTGAGAGAGATGGCCAGGCTCCTGTGGCACCTGGGCCACTCTTCACTAGTGGCTGGTGGCCGCTGACTTCTCTCTGGGCCTCTT